GTGTGTGTGTGTGTGTGTGTGTGTGTGTGTGTGTGTGTGCCTGTGTGTATATATTTATATATATATATGTGTGTGTATATATATATATATATATATATATATATATATATATGTATGTATGTATGTGTATATATATATATATGTATGTATATATATATATATATATGTATATATGTATAAATGTATGTATATATATATATATATATATATATGTATGTATATATATATATATATATATATATATATATATATATATATATATATATATATGTGTGTGTGTGTGTGTGTGTGTGTGTGTAATACATTCATAAATAATAAAATGATAATAAATAAATAATAGCTATAAAAATAAGTAAATTAACAAAATGAAAATAAATAAAGATAAACTAAAAGTAAAATAAAATATATAAATTCAATTATGACATGCCAGAACTCAAAATGCAGCTTAAAGAAGCATTAGTAAAATCCAAGTAAGGACTTGATAAAAGGCCTCAGTAGACATATGAATGACACAGATAAGGAATTCTAAGGGAATCATTTTCCTAATAATATTGTGCCATCTTTTCAAGGAGTTGGGTTTGTCACTGATCTAGTTTGTCAGTATATTTTGGCTAAAATGGCAAATAAACGTTTAGTAAATTGTCAGGCAAATGTCTAACCAGGAGACTCAAAATTAAAGAGAATGGTTCCAACTATAGCTGAAGTCCAAACGTAGGGCTCAAAAGTAACTGCTTTCGACCAATAAGTTCTAATAACCGGACAATTCCACAAGTCTCCTACTTCCACCTAAAACAAACCTTTTTATTATGTCAAGGCTATACAGTGTACTTTCAAATGATCTACAGCAGTGGTCCCCAACCACTGGGCTGCAGACCAGTACCGGTCCGTGGATCAGTTGGTACTGAGCTGCACAAGAAATCCGGCATTATTTTTCTTTTATTTATTATCTTTTATTTATTATTTTTTATATTCTTTTTTTATTATCTTTTATTTTCAAAACATCTTTTATTTTGAAATATGACCATACTTCATAAATTGTTGTAAAATTGTTGAGCGTTGACCGGTCCGCAGTGAATAGAAAAATTTGGAGACTACTGATGTACAGGATATTGTAGCATTCTACTGATTCTACTGATTGAAACATTTATTAAAGGTCCTGTGAAGTGCTTTGAAATATAAACATTATATATATATTTATCTATATAACCTTTGAAGTTATCTCAACCAAAACATGAAGAGAGGGTGGGAAATAGAGTAGTTTCTCCTCTTTCTTAAACATTTGAATAGTCAGGATTTGATGAGGAGCTGAAGTATGTAGTGACGTGAATAAAACCATTCATTCATTTAGGCGGAAGTGACAAACTGCAAGCTTCAGATGTTTATCTCAGTTTTATATCTTCTAAATGCAAATTTTGTTACTGTTTTGTTGCACATTAGCTCAAAGATATCCTAAAAATAAACAATACTAATATAAAAAAAACTTTCATCTTTTCACTTTTTCGGGATCTTTAAGGTTTAATGTGGTATACTGTGTCTTTGAGGCATTTACTTGGTATGCGTATATTTCTTTGCACAGTTTGTACATTAAGATCTTCATTAATAGTTTTCTTTCAGTAGTCTATACAGCTCTTAACGTAAAGTATTTTCAGAGGAATAGCAAAATAGCATGAACAGGAAGTGATAAAGTGAACAAGAAGTGATAAAGTGACTCATGGTGTCCCATGAGAAAAGTTTCAGAAGTAGAAAGTTTGAGCTTGAGGGGTCCTCTGTGGTGGAGGTTAGTCAGTGCTTTTGATTTGGTCTCCTCACGTACATCTGTCTGCATTCCACACCACACACAAACACTCACAGCGTCTGATGCTTTAGTCATATACCCTCGGCTCTCCTGTGTGTGAACACTCATGATTATTTTAGTAATAACCATCCCACACTCTCACACTGACTCACTGAGTCTGGGTCTCACACAGGTTGTTTTCTTTAGCGTGTTGAAAATGATCCATTTCCTGTTTAGCCTACGATTTAGCAAGAGCCTCATCTGGAGTTTGAGATGGGATCCTGCTTATAAGATGAGATGGCTTTTTCAGAGTGCTTTTGTGTGTTCAAAGAGAGATCGGAAATAAGGCAGGGTGTATCTCTCAAGCGACTGCATTACACACTGAAAAAGTGGACTGGGACACCCAGCTAGTTATCTTACAGTCCTTTTTGAAATCCTGTTAGGGTCAGTGATGATAACTAGCAATAATAAAGCATCAGTAATTGAACTTTAAATCTGGAGCACGGTACTTCTTCGTCTTTTTTGTACTTTTTTTTTTCCTATTAAGAGTGTAAGTGTACACCAGAATAACTGTTTAGTGGGTGCCTCAATTTTGAAAATGTGGTTTAGTATATTTTTGGGTATACACTACCTGACAAAAGTTCCTGTTGTCTATCCAAGTTTTAGGAACAACAAATAATGACTTGACTTCTGGTTGATCATTTGGTATCAGAACAGAAGTCATGGTGCAGTGGAAGAGAATTAATATAGTGTGTATATGACTCCCATGAGCTTGGAGCACTGCATCCATCCATCTCTGCAATGACTCAAATAACACATTAATAAAGTCATCTGGAATGGCAAAAAAAGCGTTCTTGCAGGACTCCCAGAGTTCTTCAAGATTTTTTGGATTTATCTTCAATGCCTCCTCCTTCATCTTACCCCAGACATGCTCAATAATGTTCATGTCTGGTGACTTGGCTGGCCAATCCTGGAGCACCTTGACCTTTTTTGCTTTCAGGAACTTTGTGAAGAAAAAGGGATGAGAAAAAGCACTATCCTGCCGAAAAATGTACCCTCTCTGGTTTGTAATCTAATGGACAGCACGAATGTCTTGATACCTACAATCTTGACTGATTTCTGTGACAATTTTGGCTCCATGCGGGTTCCAGTAGGTCTTCTGTAGTATTTGTGATGATTGGGATGCAGCTCAACAGATGATTTATCTGAAAAAAATCAACCTTCTGCCACTTTTCCAAATGATCAAGTAGAAGTCAAGTTATTATTTTTGCTCTTACAACTGGGATCTACGACAAGACTTTTGTCAGGAAGTGTAGAATTACATTTTAAAGGTGCTACATAAAAATAAATTATTATTTTAGTCGATATGTGTATTACATTAAAAAAAGTACTTTTTAAAAAATAATAAGCAGTGGTTTATGTACCAAAATGTACGTCTGTTTTTAATACATTCAGTTATAATTGTAATTTCTCAAGAACAACAACAAAAAATGAGGGAATTCTGTGAACTATTTTTGTAGCTACAGTATATTCCTTGCATTAAATGCTAAAATTACCACCATAGCCCAAACTATCAAATTCAATGGCTATTGTTGACACTACAATAATGATTCATTCATGTTTATTTTGTGCTAAAAAAATAAACATGAATGATGACATTTTCTCTCCATTGATATTTTAAACGAGGCACTTGGGTATTCAGCATTTAAACATTATTCCGAATTAAGCAGGTGTAACTTAAAATGAGACATATCTTTCAGTTATAATGAAAAATTAAGCATCAACTGAAACATTGATCTGAGGATTTATGAGTATTGACCAAAAAAAAGACCAATATACCAAATACATTTAGCGTTACTCACCTACTCATAAAACAGTAAGTGGATCCATGTTAGTGTTTTAAATATTTTACAGAATAGCTGTGCTGTGCTGGTAACTTGACTATGCATGTGTTGTCTTTTTAATGGTAATCGACATTCAGTCCACCAGCAAGCGGGTCAATAGATAACATTCACAGATGGATGAGTGTTTAATTGCACCAGTTTAATCGGTTATGTAAGCTGCAGTACTCGGCATATGAAAACGATTGGGTGTGAGGTGTTTTATTCCGTTTACACTGAACTTCTGCAGTCTAAAAATGGCACCACAGTGACACTTCCATTTGTGTGCTATTGGATTATCACAGGCAATGCTGCTCGCTTTCACTTGTCCTAAATAGAGGCAACAGAAGTTGACAGTGTGTGGCTTTTCCTCTTACTGAGATTATGTAATGTACGTGTTCACTCAGACGTCTGGTAGGGTTACATAAGAACTCATGAGAGCACTTTCGCTTTTTGCCCAAGAGGATCAGGGCTGTGTGAGAGAGAACAATGTTCTTCTCAATCTCCACTGTGCACGGTAAATTTAACAAAAGACTTATTTGCATTATTTTCAAAACGCCTGAAATGGCTTCTTTCTCTCACATTATCTTGAAAGCGGAAATCTGTGTGAGTTTTTGGTTTGTTTCATTATTAAATTTATTTATTTTATTTTTGAATTTATTGACTTTCACATTTTTTCAAGTGTGTTACTCTGAATCTTTAATTGTTAAGGATTTAAAAGTCATTTGTGGTAAAAAGTGTATTAAAAAAATTATACTTGATTAAAAGTATCTTCACTTACCCAAAAATGTAGTGCTAGTAAAAGTATCTGTGGAAATATTGCTTAAATTATAAGTAAAAAGCAGGCCTTTTTAAAGTACTCGAAGTAATATGTATGATGTGAAGGCTTGATGTGTTTACATGCTATTTGTGCATGTGTGTGTGATTTGTTTAAGGCCATTTGGTGATTTCAGTCCTCATATAATCGACATCTTCATCTAAACAGCCTCTTGACCATTTTGTGTAATGGTTTTTTATTTTCTTGGGCAGTTTCAATACACTTTACATGTTTGCTGCATTTATAAAGTGCCCATGTCATGAGATTTTTCTGTGTGATACAGTTTTTCTACACGCAGTTTGATTGGTTGGGAATCACAGGACTGATTATTACTTAGCCAATCAAATATAAAAATCTATAAATAAAAATGAAAGTAGTGACTGCAGGCTAACGTAAAATTGTGGAGCAAATGTTCCAATACAGCACTAAAGATCTACTCAAATAAAAGTATACATTTTAAAAAACTACCTAATACAGTACAATTCCTGAGAAAACCTACTCAATTACAGTAATTTGAGTATTTGTAATTTGTTACTGTACACCACAGGTCACCATGCTGATTGAGCAAACCAAACACTAATGAGACCTAGAGGTTGTGCTAATCAATTCCATTACATCCCAGGGCTCATCTTGATTTGACAAACGTTGCCGTCACTGTAATGAAAGGTGCAGAATCACTGATAACTAGGGCCAGACAGAATCTGTGGATATTTTTTGCTATTTCTGTGGAGAATTTAGTAAAAAAAAATCTGAAGATGTATACTTACTGATTTTGGGAATATCATAACTAAAAACCTAATAAATTAAGTAAAAAATAATACCTTTTTTAACTTTTATTTAATGTTTACAATGCAAATCCAAATAGATCCACTTATTTGGTCACCGTCCCCCCAGGACAGAAATTAGTGACCCCTGCTTTAGAAGCAGCGTTACTGCTTCTAAACTTTCAACATAATTTAGACCAAGTAAACAGATGACGAGTGTAATACAATAAGTTAGGTCTGTTTGACTAATAGGCCTAGAGATTTGTGGAAAAATTAAAAATGATAACACGCTATTGTATTATTAAACATGTAGAACAGTACTTTCATGCATTCAAATGGATTACACCAAGGAAAAATAATAATTCTGTTTGACTTTCGTGAATTAGTTAAAAATTAAAGTTATTTTTCTCTTATCCTCAGTAAAATCACTGCAGTGCATTTGTCTAGATTCTCTACGTCATTATTCAAATTTCCAATTAATTATCAACTGTATCAACTTGATTTGGAAAGGTAATTCTAGATCTCAAAAATATGTTGAAGTCCTCAGGCAACATAATTATTAATGTGTGGCAATTTTAATAGGATTTGGACTTAGAAAGTGGCATAGATGCAGAAATTATAAATAAACGCCCTGTAATGGCTAAAAATTTGATATTTCATTCTTGATTTATAATTTTTTGTGGCTTATGGACCTCTTGAATTACTCCAATAATCAGCGTATAATTACTTGTTTTTTATTCATTCATTTATTCGTTTTTTATTTTTTTTAACTTAGTCCCTTTATTTATCAGAGGTTGCTACAGCAGAATTAATCGCCAACTTATCCATATGTTTTACGCAGGGGATGCCCTTCCATCTGCAACCCATCCGTGGGAAACATCCATACAGTCTCATTCACACACATACACTACAGACAATTTAGCTTACCCAATTCACCTATAGCGCATGTCTTGTTGGAAAACAGAGTACTCCCACGCCAACACGGGGAGAACATGCAAACTCCACACAGAAATGTCAACTGACCCAGCCAAGGCTCAAACTAGTGACCTTGCTGTGAGGCGACAGTGCTACCCACTGCAACTACCACGCCGCCATAATTACTTGTATTATTAAAAAAATACAAGCAGCTATATATTTGTATAAATTCTGCATTTCTATGCTGACCTGAAAAACAACAACAACCTTTAGCTAATTTTGCATGTGTGATTAATTTGTGCGATTCCTTCCTGGAAAGGCTGATTCCTGATGTACTATATCCGGAATATGATCATTAGTTTAACAGGGTCATCCATAATCCCGCAATTTAGGATTATCTCTCATGGTTGCCGTGGGACCAAAATCCCACAGTGACATTTTTAATGGGATGTTTTAATACACTTTGTCTTGATTGGACAGGTGTGCCGGTCTCCATGGACACAAAGTACTAGGTTGCCAGGAGACGGGGAATTCCAGGGTTCATGGGTTGGTGATTCAGTGGAGCTTTGCTCAAAGAGGGAAAATGTCAAGAACACAGAGCAAATCTGGCCACAGTCCCTGCTTGTTTTTCTGTCTGTTTTTATTTCTGCAAGTGCTTATATTGCTTATATTGAAGTTGTTATTGCATAACAAGTCCTTACAGACTAAATAGTACATTTGTAAACCAGTTATGCAGGCTTGAATTGACTGTCAAATGCAGTAAATATAAATTCTGTATAGTTTCTTTAATGCACTTTCTCAGATATGCTGCTTGATTTGAGTGACCTCTTGCAGGTAAGATTTGCAATATTACCAATACTACACCTACTGTATAAATGCATACATATACAGTGCTCATCATATATGAGTACACCCCTCACAAATCTCTCAGATTAATATTTTCTATAGGAAGCTTTACAATATTATATAACCAATTTTGGAGCTAATCTGACAAAATAACTAATGATAATGCCAGTGGTGCCAGATATAGCTGACTTTTTCCAGCCCAAAAGCTGTCCAAAACCTGCACAAATGCACAAAAAACACCCATAATGTTAAATTAATATTTTTATGTAATTAATGAAATTAATCTAGTTACTTTAACTATCATAATTTAACCTTACAGCAACCAACACCAGCTGCCACAACATAACCAATCACACCAAAACACTGCCTCCTTTCACTCACACACTGCACTTAATGTTGTGTAGAATACACAACCTATTAGAGCAGGGGTCTCAAACTCAAATAGGCGGGGGGCCATTTCAGTGTCTGACAATTCATAGGAGGGCAGTTTTAACATTCAAGCACAAGAAACAACTGGAAATTTGACATAATTGATGCATTTTAGGACAACAGACATTTATATTTCAAGCATTACCTTTCACTAGTGATGATGCAAATCAACACGTTGATCGTGTTTTAAATTTCTGTCCTGATAAGTCATGTTTTGATCCTCGATTGGTCTCATGCTGTCAAGTTATTTGATTTCGCAGGTCAGAGTTCACAAAGCTTGAACTTTGCACCGCAGCGAACTGCGAAACTTAACGCATGACCCTGCGTTTCTGGGCTGACGTGTTCGTATGTATATGAATTGAAGTGCATGGGGAGAAAAGCCCGGTATGACCGCAGCTTAAACTGCTGCGAGTTTAACAGCAGGCACTGCGTGATGTGTGTGCACACAAAGGGTAGTCAGATGTCCAGGGAGTCAAATTTTGATACAATTTTCCTACAGCTCCTCTTGTGGGTGGGCCCATGTAGTTTGCTCTATGCATTGGCCACTACTAACTGAATGGAGGAGGAGCAGATGGTTAGGTTGCATATAAAATTGACATTTCAAAACTGCCCAAATTTTGTCTACCCTCCAATTTTTTACCCACAAAATCAAATTCAAATTCCACCCAATCTGGCAACACTGACGCTCCAAAAATTAGTACAACCAAATTTATATTTTATGGAAAAATGATAAATAAAAATGTAAAAAGAGCAAAAATTGAAGAGAAACAAAAATGCATAAAATTTTCTTAAAATTTTGTAGTTTGTATTTTTTTTTCAATATTTTGCGTAAATTTAAATGTATTAACTCTATTTCTAAACATGTCTGGTAACTAAAATATTATTTTAATAAATATATCTGCTTAATAAATCTGTTTTGTTCAAATGCAGCAATATATATGACCTATATTCACTGAGAAATGGATAAAAATATAATTTGTTCAAATAGGGTATACACATTTATGCCCAGCACTGTATGTATGTATGTCTGTCTGTCTGTCTGTCTGTCTCTCTGTCTGTCTCTCTATCATAAATTATATTTTATAAACGTAGATTTTTAGTTTTCCAAAAATTTGAAAAATATACATAATAAAAATATATATACAGCTATAGAAGCCATTTGAAAGTGACTGCGTTTGATTTACTGTCTTTATTAAGTATGGGTTTCAGTAAAATCTTAATATTTGTTTTATTTTATAGAGGTCTACTAACATAGGGAAATGTTGATTTCTTAATTATATATATATATATATATATATATATATATATATATATATATATATATATATATATATATATATATATATATATATATATAGTATTGTTTTTCTCTTCTGAGTATTAAAACTAGACAAACATATTGGTTTGGTTATTGGCCCCAGTTTTTATCTACTCCGCTTGCTGTCTAAAGTCCTAAGGTCAAACATTTCTTAAATCCCACTACAATAGAGATTGCTGTCCACGCTTTTATTATGTCATGGTTAGACTACTGCAATTCACTTTACTATGGCATCTCAAAATCTCTAATTTCTCGCCTTCAGTTAGTCCAAAATGCTTCTGCTAGATTTATTTGACAGTTTATAAGAAGATGATGGAAGAAGAATTAAAAGTTTATGTAGTATAACAGTATGTTGGCTTTCTCAAGCTACAATAAATATGTCTGAAAACATGGCACAATTTGATTTTTAAATTTGAAGAAATAAGCAAATGTTTGATATGTTTTAGGGAACAAACAAACAAACAAACAACCAAATTAAACTTTACAAAATGATGGTATAATTAGAATTTCCCATTTTAAATGAAATAAGGGCAAAAGCACAATAGAGGCATTTTCCCTGTCATTCCCAGACTTGTGAACCTAGTGATTTATAAATGTGCATGCATTAGTGTGTGAAAGCCATCTTATTCCAGCTGGTCTGTCCTTTTTATATTTTTACCATCACAGCTGTCCTATTAAAGCCCCTCCCAAACCCACATGCTAACACACAGACCCTGTCCACTGCACTTTTTGAGTCAGAAGGGGATTTGAGCAGAGAAAGAACCCATAAATTCCTTCACTCTCCCCCAGACAGTAAAGCTCTTTTGAGGCACAAGGCTGTCGCCGCCCCTCTCAGGTCAGGAGTGTGTGAGGGTCGTCCTACTTTTCAGTGGTCGTGACCTCTGACATCCACCAAAAGAGATTTCTCTTTAATGCCGTGGGGCCCAGATGGAAGAAATAGGGTGTCTTTTTTTTTTTGTGCACGCGCATCGTTTGTCAGGGATATCTAATTGTTGAGGTGGTCCAAGAAGATAAGTGTTGAGTTATATGATGTTTAAAATGTGTTTCGTGAAATATTTTGTTATTGTAGCTCATCCTCCAAGGATAAGACACAGATATAGAGTTTGTGAGAAAGTTGAAGACTCTGTGGTGATGCTGGTAAGCATCCAAAACCCAGAGCTATGAACTCTGCAACCTTCAGCATCTGTTAAAATACACTGTGTTATTACCATGCCTTTCTGTCTCTTTATTTATTCCTTTTTACTTTGTTCCTTCCTTTCAGCGTTATATCTTTTGCTCTCATTGCCACCATCTGTCTGTCTTTGATCTTGACCGCAGATTTGTGTTTATGTCTCTCTTTCTGTCTTTCTCACCCAAGGTGAACGTGTACGTTTTGGGAAAAACATTCCTTGTTTTAGCCAGAGAGCTGTGTATCAACGCACCAGCTATCGGTAAGCTTCAAATAAATGACTTTGCCATTTCCCATCATGCTTTGCTGCTAATCTACTTTGTACTGCTACTGTGTAGTGCCACTTTTAATGCCCAGAGGGTGCTATCCAGTTGTAAACGAAACTTTGCAGTGTAAATCATTTACCCTGAATTGATCTGCTGGAGAAACAATATAAGGCAAAATTCAGACATGGTTTACCTCCTTGTGTCCAGTGTGTGAATTATACAGTGACGATTGGAAGGGGTGAACTTTTTTTCGGTAGTAGCTTGGTAATACATGCTTCAGTCAATCAAATTTATGAATGTTTTTAAATTGCATTTATTAATCAAATGGCTACGTTTTGAGTGTTTTGAAGGATATTTAATGACTGTTTTAAAGGTCATTCTAGGTTAAACTATACAAATTATGTGTCTTTATATATATATTACGTGTCTTTATAAGTAGGGTCTGTCCATTGACTGTAAGACGGGCATTACATGACGAGGCCTTAAGGGCGTAACTTGTAGTATGTTAAAGGCGTAACTTGAGGTTGGAGACTCGCGTCAAAACTATGTTGTTGGCAAGATGGTGCTGTACCTCAGTTATTAACGTCTACACCTTCCCCAAACCTAAACCCAACTATCATAGTTATTAATGTCTACATCATCCACAACCCTAAACCCAACCGTCACAGTTATTAACGTCTACACCTTCCCCAAACCTAAACCCAACTATCATAGTTATTAATGTCTACATCATCCACAACCCTAAACCCAACCGTCACAGTTATTAACGTCTACACCTTCCCCAAACCTAAACCCAACTATCATAGTTATTAATGTCTACATCATCCACAACCCTAAACCCAACCGTTACAGTTATTAACGTCTACACCTTCCCCAAACCTAAACCCAACCGTTACAGTTATTAACGTCTACACCTTCCCCAAACCTAAACCCAACCATCACAGTTATTAATGTCTACATCTTCCACAACCTTAAACCCAACTATCACCCTTATTAACGTCTACACATTCCCTAAACCCAACCCTCACAGTTATTAATGTCTACATCTTCCACAACCCTAAATCCATTCGTCACCGTTATTAACATCTACACCTACCACAACCCTAAACCCAACCATTACAGTTATTAACATCTACACTTTCCCCAAACCTCCCTGTAATTTGTTCCCTCCTTGTCATTTCAAACCTTTCAAAAATGATTGTGTGTGTGTGTGCGTGCGTGCGTGCGTGCGTTCGTGCGTGCGTGCGTGCGTGCGTGCGTGCGTGCGTGCGTGCGTGCGCGTGCGCGTGTGTGTGCGTGTGTGTTTTAAATATGTATCAGTGTTTTGTTTTTCTGTTCTTGCAATGAAAGTCTTTGGTGTCTAGTTTTGTGTGGACCTTGTTTATCTTTGTAACATTTGCAAAAACAGCTAATAATTTGCCCAAAATAAAACTTTGTGTTCATAGAGGTTTGTATCAGCATGAGGGTGAGCAAATTATGATAAGATTGTAATTTAAGAGACATATGTTGCCTAGACAAAATCTTAAAGACAACAACTGCTGATTTGACAAAAGAGAAGAAAATACTGTTTGATGAATAGAAACAACATGTTTATATTTTTTCAGGCTCTTGAAACCCTTTTCTCAGCATCAAGCTGTCAACAAATGATCAATTAAATAAGACAGAGTAAAAGCTGCCTAGTTTCAAGTGCAAACTGCCCATTGACTAATGTACTAAGGCAGGTTATGAATAATTAGAAATATAATATGTTTAAATTAAAGTGTGTTTTTAAAATAATGTTCTACGAAATAAATAACATTGGGGAGCATACCATTACATGTGAGACAAAAAAAAAAAAGAATCATATCAGAGGGTGTCGCATGTCCTCCATCTGTTGTGTCTTGCAGCTAAATTGTGAGTAAAGGCATTTATTTGAGAGGGGAACCCCCCTACTCTCTCTTCATTAATGGATCAGTCCAAGTACTCATGCATAAAAAATCAGTTCTGGAATCTGTCCCCCTTGCACCCCTGTCCCATTAGTACTGTCAGAGGAACACTGAAACTGGAAGGTCACTTTCCCACACTGCACTTCTGTCATTCCCTCTTGTCCAAAGTAGCTTAGCTCACTCCCATCTAGAACGGCGCTAACGGTGTAGAAGGCATCCTGCTCAACCTGTACAGGGTGCTCGAACCACACTGGGAATGTTGAGCTAGAGCCGTCTGACACAAATTTGGTCAAGTTTTGTGCCAGAAGCACTCCCTGTCTCTTTAGTTCAATTCTCACACTATATTCCGCTTTCCCTCCGCTGGAGCCATACAGGCCAAGTCCAGCAATAAACACGCGCTTGTCCACAGCGAACTGGATGCTGTCACAGCGTCCACGGTAGCGCCACTGGTTGCTTCGGTAGGCAGAGGATTGGAAGCGGTGGCAGCGTTGCGCCGTCAGACCCTTTCTGGCATTAACCGGGAATCCCAATGAAGGTTTTGTAGCTGCTGTGTACCACAAAAAGATGCTGTGTGTTTCCTCAAGGGTTAAAATGTCCACCTGCGCGGCTCCGTCTGCAAACTCCTGGAGTGTCATGGAAGGCAGGCGCACAAGGTGCAACGCTTTTCCCAACACAGAGCGCTGGTTCTGCGAGGTAGGGCTTACACCTTGTCTCCGACATTCTGCATCGGCCCATCCCAGGACGGCCTGGAACACCACAGACTCCTTCACATTCAGGGTTTCCCTTTGCAAGATGCTCTCCAGTGTTGGCAGGTCAATCTCAGAGAAGCCTTCAGAGCGCAGTGCGAGCTCTGCCTGGGCGTCAATCACCTCCCAGCATCTCTGTGTGAGCTCCGGCTCCTCAAACAGACGACTCTGAGATAGCAGAACGCATGCATTTCGCGCCTCCAGACTCGTCTCGAGGAAACCCACACATGCACGAGCCAGAGCAGATACCAGGTATTTCTTTGCAGCATAGAGTGTAGCCAAAACTGTGTCCGGTGCCAGCTCTATCTCATCACTGTACATGTATCTGATGAAGAAGAGGGAGATAAAGAGTTAGGGTAAAATAAAGGCAATGTGAAACAGATCTGTAGATCCTTTTCATATATCCGTTTTTCTGTAATGCAAAGTAAATCTGTGTAAATTCACAAATGTTTTTTCCAAAAGTCTAAAATTAAAAACTTTCAAGGATTTGAGACGCTGATCGCCATCACAGTCTTGATGAAAAGAGTTCCTTGTGACGTATATATCTGAAAGGGGATCTTACTCATTATATTGTGTGGCTACTGCTTTACACGGTGACTTCCAACTTTCCCAGGGAAAAACTACATCATTCCCATTCACAATCCATTAAAGGATCTCTAATAGCTCTGAAATGAGAGGGCAACTCTTAAACCAAGACATCACTGTCGGGCCCTCTGTGAACCCATCTGTTCTGGTTGGCACGAAACTGAGTCGTCCTGTTATTAATGCCCGGATGTGATTAGTGAGTCTTACTTGAGCAGGATGAGAAAAGCAGCGGGTTCCACATCTGGAATATGGATATCAGAGTCCCCTTCTGCGAGATCCCCGTAAAACATGGCACAGAATACAGAGCTTCCCACTGCCAGCACGTACTGAGAGAGGGGGAAGAGACAAGCTGTCAGTATTTTATCTTGTTGGGAAGCGTATTCCCTAAAATCTCCCTGGATGGCTTTCTTATCTGACACCTATTCCAGGTCTACTGATAAGTTAATGGGTAAATTCAGATGTGTCAGGAGACAGACAAAATGTGTTGTGATTGTTGTAATGGAGTGGACAGGAGAGTGGTATAAAGACTCACCTTGTGTGCCGGGACCCTTTGAGATTCACCAGGAGGTCCAACAATGAAATGGACATCTGCCATTTGTTCATTATTGAACATCAGTGCATTTCTGCATAAAAGTAAATAAATACATTTATTAGTAATAAATACAACATGTAAAATACAGCATTGATCCCATGTACAAAACATTTTAGTGTTTTTCCCCTTTAATAACTGCCTTAAACCTCTTTGGTCATTTACTGAAAAATTGTATAGATATTTTTTAAATCCCACACCCATTTTTTTACTGTGGGATGCAATCTTAGTAGGAAGCAAGGCATTTTTATAAGTTTTCCCTCCAAAAGTTGCTTATAAAAATGTATTAGCTATTACCAAAAATCCTAAAGTATAGCCAATTACAGTTGAAGTAGAATAGAATGTGCAATCGCAAATACAGTAGAATGTGCAATCGCTTTTAACAAACCCTTACTATGCCTTGAACCTTAAAAAACTTCTAATTTGTAGATTATTATTAGTTATTAAAGCAGTAGTTAGGTTATTGGGGCTGTAGATGTTGGGTAGGATTAGGGATGTAGAATATGAATATTTATTCTGACATTCACATACATGCCAATGGCAAATTTTTTTAATTTAGTACTAATAACAACAATGTAGTAAGGTAGTCTCTAAAAAGATCACATGACCCCGCTCTGTGTACACTTATGCAGTGTATCTGCTTGTTAAGTTTGACGTCACGTGAAGCGGCTTCCTGGTCCAAGCACTCTTATCAATCTGCATGGGGAGACTCGTCAACTGGTAATAATAAATGTTTACACAGCACAGTAATACTTTCGTAAATCACCATCGCAATATATTTATATCCATGCCTAATATCCAATGGCCTGAAAGTGCTTAATGTTTTAGAAATTGTTAACATTTTGGTATTTGTGATACAGCAAGTCCAGAGACTGTTGTGTACACTAAGATTTTATTCAAAATTCACTTTAATGTGTGATCTGATGGCCATAAATGAATATTTTCTCAAATCAAATGAGTAGCGGCTTGGACCCAGAAACAGTATTCCATACATCACTGATACGTCACCACTTAATAAGCGGATGGTCTGGTGCAGGCTTCACAGTCGCATACCCCTTGCCATGACTGACTTTGTCCTCTTAAAAAAAATTAAACTACAAGTCGTGACGACACATAGTGCAAGGTCTATGATTGGTCTGCTTTGTAGTATTGATGAGTGTGGGCGGCGCAGAGAGGGCAATACAAAAAATAATTAATTAATTTGATTACAAATAAAATTTTATTAGTTGTAATCGAGTTAAAATGGTCAATTAATCAACATTTTGATTTTAGGCTAAAATCGCCCAGCTGTCGTCTCTAATTACTGAGATACTAACGTTTAATGAATAAGTACCCATATTTAACAAACAAGAACTAGTAATAAGTAAAAAGTGTTAGGCCCTAAAGAGTAAATGTGTGTAAACGTTTTGTGCTATATGTGATCACACACTCAGGTAAAGACTAGAATAAAGCATTGAAGTAAATAGGAAGATTGTTTCATTCAGTGGATACGTATGGTACTGCACCCAAACAAAAGCTTTAGAAACATCAAACTCAATTTTAAAATGCAACTTTAAATTCGTTTTTTTCCGGTTTTATGTAAAACAAATTAAAAATTAAATTTGAGACCAACCTGTTTCTAAAGCATTTCAGATTTACAGTTCAAGTTGGAAATTTCATTTACAAGTCTTACCCTCTTAAAAAATGGTTAACTTGCAATAAATGGATGGCAACCACTGCACAAATATAATTTTGCACCATAAAAGCCCCTAAAAATATTAAATATTAGATTAAAATTAGCACCAGAGGGTTAAGGCTATAAAAAAGTAAAACAATTGATTTAAAAAAAGTTTGTATAAATCTCTGCCATGCCTTTCGCGTAATGTCGGGTGCGCGGAGTGCCAGCTGGGAATCTCCACGTTGTTGTTGTTGATGTTTTGCTCGGTGGTCGGTGTGGTGGCGATGGACGCGGTGGTCTGTGATACCGGCTCCACGCTCCGCTTCTTCTCCGGCAAACTCAGCATCACGGCGCCGCTCTTCTGCAGTGTGGCGTGATCGCTGACCGGGTACAGTTCCGCCGCCATCCTCTTCTTCAGGGAAAGAGTTAAGATGTTATAGCACACAGACAGCCTGCCGGGGTGCTTGCTTGCCCGCTTCAACTTCTTTAACGTTTCAGGGAGCAAAAGTAAAAAAGTCACACATTTCATGATCCGGCCATGATTGGACAGCCTGCATTCCGGCGCAGCGGGCATGAGAACGAGCGAGAAAGTTGACGAAATGTGTTCAGAAAAATAATAACAGCTACAAGCGTGATCCGTTCTTAATAATATTCGTGCAAACAAACAACCCTTCTCTGTTACTTAAATAATTTCACCGGCTAATTTAAACATGTTCCATCCCTTTTTCCTTAATCACATCTTCTCCCATCCCATAACGAAAATCCAAACCAGATCGGTTTAAAAGCACTTAAGAATCGCAAACAAGCAACGATAACAAGAAACGACCAGGCAGATATCTCTCCTCCGCTGTGGCCACACGGAATGATGAAGTTTGAGTTTATTTTGAGCTCTCTCCCTCTCTCGTTTTACGTCAGGAGTGGAGGGCTGTCTCTCCATCCCTCCTCTAAATTCTGTGTTGCCATGTTCGAGTGTAATAGGCAACATTTTGTTTGGATTTTCGCATGGTTTTTCATTTGTTTATCTGGTGATTATTACAGTAGATGTATGTGAATGCATACATATTTATTCAGAAATGCACATGTTTGTCCTAAAGGAAATATTTATTAATGATAAACATACCTAATGAAATTGCTTGCTTTTTTCGTTGGTATCTGGCAACCTTTAAAATAGAGCCTGTGAGAGTCTGTCTATGTGGACCGTGCAGAGATGAGGATTTTTAATTCTTCAAATCTATGCTCGCATGTTTATAACTTTCTAAATCTAATAATCACAACACGTCCACAAATGACCCAAGACCAATAAAGGATATATTTTGCAAATGCGAAGTTCGTCCGGACACGTCGTTTGTTTTGTTCGCCAGTATTTTATGTCCCTTACACTCGCGAGTCAACTTCAAACACCAATTACATAACCATTAATAATATTCAATATTAAATATCGAATTAAATCTAGTATTGGTAGTTGAGAACGAGGAAAATATAGCAAATATATCTCAAACGATACATTTTAACCCGCAGAATAATACAACATCAGCAGCGTTCACGTCATGCTTTAAATGTTGTTGTGGGATAAACAAAATAATATTGCGAGCTCTTACCTCAGATTTTGTGGGTTAGTTTGTTTTCATCCAAAGTTTTATTGCTCCGGTTCACGCTCGGTCGCGATGGAGTCTGAAACCGGACGAGGGCTGGACTTGTGGTAATACTGTAGTGCGCGCGACTGCTCTCGGTTTTCCCAATAAAGTGCTCGCGCGCAGCTTGATGCTTCCTCTCCCTCTCTTTCTCTCTCTCCCCGGGTCCCTTCTTTTTCCCACAGACAGAACAGACGGATCTAAGCGGCTTATAGCGAACATATGTAGCGGGGATTAAATCATTGTTTCCGAGTCTTTCTTGATTTATGTACCCCCATAGCCCCATCAATAAGACTCAAAGAACATTCTTCAACATTAACCCAAAAATGTATTCCTGTATTCTGATAAATATGTGTAAATTGGATGTTGTAAAATAGGTTTAAACAAGTTCACCACCTGCAAATTTATGATTTTTTTTTTCTTCAGAAACCTGATAGAGTTTGTATTTATTGACAGATTTGGTTAGAAAATCTTGCAAAAAAAAAAACAATTGACGTTGTTATAAGGAATAATAAAATAGAGTAAAAGAATAGTAAAATCAACCTCTGTCTAGTCTGTTTAACAAACTCTCAGATTTATTTATTAAAATGCTACTAAACTTCCTTTGCCAAATCCTTCAATGAGTGTCACGGTTGCACAGTGGGTAGCACGATCACCTCACAGCAAGAAAGTCACTGGTTAGAGCTTTGGCTGGGTCATTTGGCATTTCTGTGTAGAGTTTGCATGTTCTCCATGTGTTGGCGTATGTTTCTTCTGGGTGCTCCGGTTTCCTATAGTCCAAAGACATGCGGTGAATTAGGTAAGCTAAATTGTTTGTAGTGTATGTGTGTGAATGAGTGTGTATGGATGTTGCCCAGTAATGGGTTGCAGCTGGAAGGGTATCCGCTTTGTAAAATATATGCTAGATAAGTTGGCGGTTCATTCCGCAGTGGCAACCCCTGATAGGTAAAGGGACTAAGCCGAAAAAAAAATGAATGAATGAATCCTTTTTTGTACACACAGTAAAATGATTCGACAAAGTGACGACCGAATTCAGTAACAAATTTGCTCCGGCCAAATATTTTGGTAGTGACAACCACATTTTCATACATTGTACACATTGTTTACTCATTTATTAATTTTCCTTCGGCTTATTCCCTTATTTATCAGGAGTCTCCACAGTGGAACAAACTGCTAACTTTTCTAAAACATATTTTACGCAGCAGATGCCCTTCCAGCCGCAACCCAGTACTGGGAACCACCCATACACTCACATTCACACACTTACGCCTATTTTGATTTACCCAATTCACTTATAAACCATTTTAATATGGTCATGTGATTGGACCATGAACATTTCCTGCTTGTTATCAAACTATTCCATAACTGTAACAAGAGGCAATTCAATCTTGACTTCATGTTAAAACAGCTTTCATAGTATTAATTATCAATATGTGGCTCTTTTTGAATTCTCGGAAGCTATAGAAATAAAAGAAAAAAAAGTAAAACAGGACATACGTTGGGACCATTGTTTTTGCATATTGTCCTCAAAATGGTCTATACCACATGTATCTGGACTGTGGGGCAAACTGAAGCACCCCAAGGTGACCCATGCAAACATGGGGAGAACATGCAAAGTCCACACAGATATGCCAGCTGGTTCAGCCAGGACTCAAACCAGCATCCTTCTTGTTGTGAGGTGACAGTGCTAACCACTGAGCCACTCTGCCACCCCTACACTATATAAACGAAACCAAATTAAGCAAATAGCTTTCAATGAGATTTAAACATCACAGTTGTCTCTTTCTCTGTTTTCTGTAGGGTGTGTGCAAAAAATCACAGTAAGAGAAATATTTCTTGACTTAGTCGTGTTGCCAGATCTTGAAAATAAGAACTTCATTTTACAAAAAAAAAAAAAAAAAACTTTAACCTGAACGTTTTATCAGATGAATGAAAAAATCATCATGTGAGGCTATCAGCCCTCACACTTTTGTGAGTGTGAATGATAATTTAGGGAATATGATTGTCACATCTAAAATTTACAATGTGTATGTAGCCAACAAACTTTACAGCGCTAATAATTTGGTTGCTATCGTTTCTGTATCCCTTTAAATAAATCAAAAGCAACTCATGAAACCTAAGTACTTCCAAGGATACACATCCCTGATTGAGAATCATTTAATTGGATAAAAACATTGCAGATGCATTATTAGAGCTGAAAGACTTCTGAGTGGCATCATCTGCTGAGAAAATACATTGTTTGGAAACTGTACAAGCCTAAAATTGATTTGAATGGTTTCAGAAACATCTTGATTTGCATTATTTGTCAAGGAGTTTGCTAAAGCTTTATAGTGGATAATTTATGTCCAATTTCCGGGCTGTTTACTGATAGTCAGGTTTATTAAAAGCATGTGTTAGTGGCCATGGGCACTTGTGGGTGGGGGTGTAATAATGTACCCAATAAATCATTTCTTCACATACACTCATTAGCAGCTTTAAACTTGAGGTTTCACACTCATCTGCAAAACAGTTTTGAACTGCAGCTGAGTTCTTGAGGTGGTCTAGATGCACTGGCTTTGTAATTATGAGAGTTTTGTTTCGCACAGATCCATGTCTTTATATCCCACGCTTTGCACAACTGCTGGAATTTGGAGAGAAGAGCCATGAGGTTTCTATGACGGCACTGCGTCTCCTGCAGAGGATGAAGAGAGACTGGATGCACACGGGACGAAGACCTTCAGGCCTCTGCGGAGCAGGTAACCATGGCAACCCTCCCCTAACGGTGCGACCTCTTTAATGATGTGAGCTAGTGAAGGGTTGCTTTGTTACATGCGCATACAGCATGGAATGCAGTCCAAAAACCACCATACAGAACTGGAAGTTTTGCAAATGGTCAGAATCTACAGTTAGATCAGGTCATACACTACCTGACAAAAGTCTTATCCAAGTTTTAGGAACAACAAATAATAACTAGACTTCTAGTTGATTATTTGGTATCAGAAGCGGCTTTTATGAAAGCCAAAGCCCTCTAGATTACGCTTTTTTTTTACCAAAATAAAATATGAATATGCCTTGATTTTTAATTATGTAACTAGGACAATAAGGTCTGACTTTGCTTAGACAAAAGTATTGTCACTTTGCAGAAATAATGTACAGTAAAGAATATAAAGTCATGGTGCAGTTAAAAATAATTATCCTTGCGGATCATGGGATACATCCATCTCTGCAATAACTCAAATAACTTATTAATAAAGTCATCTGGAATGGCAAAGAAAGCGTTCTTGCAGGACTCCTAGAGTTCACCAAGATTAGTTGGATTCATCGACAATGCCTCCTTACCCCAGACATGCTCAATAATGTTCATATCTGGTGACTGGGCTGGTCAATCTTGGAGCACCTTGACCTTTTCTTACAGTAACTTTGATGAGGAGGCTGAAGTATGAGAAGGAGTGCTATCCTGCTGAAGAATTTACCCTCTCCTGTTGTTTGTAATGTAATGGGCAGCACAAATGTCTTGATTCCTCAGGCTGTTGATGTTGCCATTTATTCTGCAGATCTCTTGCATGCCCCCATACTGAATGTAACCCCAAATCATGATTTTTTTCTTGACAAAACTTGACTGATTTCTGTGAAAATGCAGGTTCCAATAGGTCTTCCACAGTATTCGTGATGATCGACCTATCTTGGTGTTATCAGTTGTCTCAGAGATGCGTGTTTCTAATGTGTTTTTCTTGGACTTTCGGTCTCGCACAAACTTGACAGTCTGTTAAAAGTGAGTTTCGGTAATTAAGTTTTTAGAATAACTGACTCCTCCTGCCTCTCAGCGTGAGTTTCTCTCCCCCCCGCCTCCACTGCATAACCTGAATAATTAATCTCCCATTAATCTTTTAGGAGCAGCGCTGAGAAAAGAGGAAGCATGAGCCTAAAAGAGTTTGTTTCGCAGTGAGAGATCAGAGACTTGAGAAAGAAAGCCAGGCCGACGCAGAGACTGAAAGAATGTGTGAAAAGCCCAGAATGAAGATAAACTGAGCGACAGAGAGGACTGCTGAGTGTGATGAAGGCCTTGAGCTTGTTGAATAGTCCTCATGTAGTGTCTGGAACACAGATTGGTTTGATATCCTGTAGGGTTAACAGTGTAGGAGGAAAATTGCAGTTTTATTTGAATTCTCCATATGAACGTGAGCCTAGAATAGCACTTAATTAGACCTAGCAGCAGCTGACACCCCTGGACATGTAGGGGCGAGTGGGGTAAGATGTGCCACACCTTTAATCTGTCAAAAGACCAAGAATTTCATACTTGGATATGTATGTGATTTGAGAAATGCATATGAGAAAAGTTTATATGACAAAGTTCATGCATAGATTCTCTTTATGATTCTTAATGTTCTTGAAAGAAGCCTTTGCTATAGATGCATTTATTTGATGAAAAATAGTTAGAAGAGCAGCACTGTGAATTATTTAAATGTCAAGTAAATTTTTGTTTTAATATGTATTTAAAAGTAATTTATTCATTTGATGGCAAAGCTGACATTGGCATTGAGAGGTCATTAGAATATGTAGATTTATGGCTCAAAAATCATTTTTAAATATTGAAAAAAAACCTATTGCTTAGAAACTGTGGTGTGTACGTTTTTGCAGGATTATTAAGAAAATCAGCATACGTTTAAAGTACAAATTCTTTATAACATAATATAAATACTTTCAGTTTAACCCTTGTGCACTCTTCAAATGTACTGCCCTTTTGTTATGTTTGGGATAAAAACATCTATTGAGTTATGCTGCTTTAAAAATGCATCAGATACATATTTTGTTTTGCTTATCTTTTAATCAACCTCAGTCCTGATCAAAACTATTAAATGTTTTTAAAATTTACAGAATTTTAACTATTTATTTGCCAAGTTCACTGAGGATGTCACTGATTTAGTAAAAAAACACACACAAAATGACGTATTTTCAATATAAAAAGTAAGTGTGGACTGCATTTTCTTTTACCGTTTATCTCAGTCTTGGACATGTGAGTGATTGGTTACAACATTGGCTTTGATGCATTGTTAGATTTTTATTTTTTCTCCTTAATTTACTGTTGGGTTTTTTTTTTTTTTTTTTTTTTTTTTGTCATTTTGACTTCCATTATAACCACATTTGATGGTGCATAAATACACAGTCTTTGTTTTTGTTTACTCTATGCAGTTCTGAGAGCTGAGATGCATATTTTTTTATTTTATTAGACACATCAAGGTAAGTGTGCAAAGGACACTCTCACACACTCACGGACACACATACACACACTTTAATTTGCTGTTATACTCCATATAAAATCCAGAAACTACTTTTTTTTTTTTGTTTTTTTTTTTGCACAGGCCTATCAAAACGATTAATGGTGCCAACTGATGATCAACAGTAAAAATGACAAATTTTACCTCTTCCCAACAGTGAAAACCACCAACAATCAAAAATGCATGATTTTATGGTGTGAAGGTTTTGTAATAAAAAATGTGGTTATAATGGAAGTCAATGGATCAAAAACAGCTACCAACAGTGTATTAGAGAGAAAAAAATGAAAGTCAATCAAAAACAGTGCATCAAAAGCAATGTTGTTTCGCATGTCCAAGAGAAATCCAGCCCACGATTACTTTTTATATTGAATATATGTATTTTTGTTTTTTTCAGCAAAACAATGACATCATTTATGAATTTGGCAATTAAATAGTTAAAATCATGTAATTTTCTTAGTAATTTAGTAGTTTTGGTCAGAACTGAGGTTGATTAATAGATTTATGCAAAAAATGTTTTTTTTTTTATTTAAATATTTATATTTAATTGAAGCATTTTACAGCAGTTTAATTTACTGGATGTTTCATCCTTAACATAACAAAAGCGTAGTAAATTTGCCTAGAGTTTGTTGTTGAGTAAAAAAAAAAATCAAAGCATTTTCTGAAAATATGTGTCAAAAACAGATTTGTCACAAAAAATGATTCTGCTAGCTAAAACACAGAAAAGGTTATGACCAAATTAAGACACAAAATCACCCAGAGCACATATAGGTTGAATCAATATAACATAGGGTTGCACAATGAAAAGAATGGATATATGATTTGTGATTATTATATTTCCACAAAACTGTTAAATTAGGTAAATATAAACTTAAGTTCTTGTGGGAAAGACTGAAAGTATCTCGATTATTAGTGACAAACTTTGCCTCCAAAGTCATTAAACACTATGTGTATGTATGCATAGATAGATAGATATACAGATATATATAGATGTATGCATCTATATACTGAACATATAAAAAAAAAGCATGAATAATGTGCTGCAAAATCTTCCTATTGAGAATATGAATTATGTTAATAATGTATTATTTTTTTCTGAGCCTGTATTATCTTGTTAAATCCAACTTCTCATTACTAAAAGGACAATCTAAATCAAGTTGCACACCTTACCATGTTTTCTATAAAATTAATTAAAGCAATAAAAGAATGAAGTATGGTTCATCATGAGGCGTCATTAAGCTCCAGAGTATCTTTTACATGTTTGCATGCTTTGTGTTGTTGGACATTCTTGAGTTTGTCAGGTAGTCCAGAAGTGCATCTGGCTGTTTATGTTTTTTTAATGACTCTGAGTGAAACGGGCATGAGGGGCTCTGCGGTATTGCAGGTGCATTTAATGTCTGTTTGTTCTGCCTGAGGTGAGTCGGTAGGGAAGCAGGTACAGCAGATGCACTTTTCTGAAAACGTATAAATGTTTTATATTTGACTATGCATCTTCTGTCCTTTCCTTTTCTCATGTTCTCTCTTGTCATTGGCTGAAAGTTTGTTTGAAGTACCATTAAGTTTTGTGCTTGTGTTTCCCATAGCTCTCCTGGTTGCGGCCCGTATGCACGAGTTCCGTCGCACAATTAAAGAAGTGATTAGTGTGGTGAAAGTCTGCGAGGCCACGCTAAGGAAAAGGTGCATTTTGTATTAATAGCTTGCTCTTAGTTATTATTTTTAGCGTTTGTGCCATTATTGAAATTTTGTGTTTCTGAGGCTTTGAATTTAGGCCCCATTATGCTGTTCAGTTGCCTGGCCTGACCCCCTGGTGTTTTGGATTGACAGGTTGTATGAATTTGAGGACACGCCCACCAGTGAGCTGACTATTGAAGAGTTCATGAAGACTGATCTGGAGCAGGAGTGCGACCCGCCTTCATTCACAGCAGGACTCAGGAAGCAAAAGCTAAAACAGGTCACGCATCACATGCCACTTTTTGTAAGAAGTTTTAATCATTAAATGTATGCTTTTGCACAATCAATCCAACTCTTTTTTTTTTTTTTTTTTCCTCAACAGATTGAACAGGAGCTTGCGAAGAAAGTTGATGATATTGAAGGTAAACGTTTATACCAGAGTTGTTGCTTAATCTATTTCACCATTGTCTTTTCAACAGACTTGGTTTCTTGTGTTTGATGTGTTACTTTGCACTTATGTGATCTGCAGGTGAAATATGTGGCTATCAGGATGAGATTGAAGTTGAGTTGGAAAGCTGTAGGCCCAAAGCTAGGGGGATTTATGCATCCTGTTCCAGAGAAGGTACTGTGTTCAAACTCAATCATGCAGAAAAATCATCAAACTGAAAGCATGTTTCATCAATATACAGTATGTTTACACTGTACTGTTCAAAAGGTTTTTCCTTTGAAAGAAGTCTCATTTATTAAAAGAAGGCTGCATTTATTTGATTTATAAAATGAATAAATTAATCGGTTTTAATATATTTGAAAATACAGAATTTTACATTTAACATCATAAAAGTTTTTACTACTAACGTTAACCATTTCAAGGCTTAATATTATTTGTGGTAACTGATACATTTTTTCAGGACTTTATGAAGAAAATGGTTAAATATAAAACCCTTCCATTGTCTCTTTTTATCACTTTAATGCTTCATTGCTGCTTTAAAAAAGCCATTCTGACTTCACACTGTCCACAATTCTGTTTCTGAATGTAAAGGTTATATTTTAAACTAATATACACTCACTGGCCACTTTATTAGGTACACCTGTCCAACTGCTCATTAACGCAAATTTCTTCTAATTTCTTTAAATTAACACAAATTGTCGACCATCTCTGGGGTTTACAGAGAATGGTACGAAAAAGAGAAAGTATCCAGTGAGCGGCAGTGCTGTGTGCGCTAATGCCTTGTTGATGCCAAAGGTCAGAGGAAAATAATCAGACTGGTTCGAGCTCATAGAAAGACAAAAGTAACTCAAATAGCCACTCGTTACCACCGAGGTATGCAGAAGAGCATCTCTGAACGCACAACACATCGAACCTTGAGGCGGATAGGCTACAGCAGCAGAAGACCACACCAGATGCCACTCCTGGCACTTCACACAGGCTCACCACAATTGGACAATAGAAGATTGGAAAAACATTGCCTGGTCTGATGAGTCTCAATTTTTGGATGGTCGGGTCAGAATTTGGCATCAACAACACGAAAGCATCCATGCTTTCCTTGTATCAACAGTTGAGGCTGCTGGTGGTGGTGTAATGGTGTGGGGGATATTTTCTTGGCACACTTTGGGCCCATTATTACCAATTGATCATCATGTCAACGCCAAAGCCTACCTGAGTGTTGTTGCTGACCATGTTAATACCTTTATGACCACAGTGTATCTTCGGATGGCTACTTCCAGCAGGATAAGGCAGCGTGTCATAAAGCATGAATAATCTCAGACTGTTTTTTGAACATGACTCAAATGATCTCCACAGTCACCAGATCTCAATTCAGTAGAGCACCTTTAGGATGTGGTGGAACTGGAAATTCAACAAATCAACAGCAACTGTGTGATGCTATCATGTCTGTATGGACCAAAATCTCTAAGGAATATTAACAGTACCTTGTTGAATCTATGCCATGTAGGATTAAGGCAGTTCTGAAGGCAAAGGGTGCTCCATCCCAGTACTAGTAAGGTGTACCTAATAAAGTGGCCAGTGAGTAAACATGAACATCTTCCTAATCACATTATATTGTGGAATGTCTTACATATTAAATTCTTTTAAAATGAATTGATGGTTAACAAGTATTATGGGACATGCAAATGCATCTGCCATGTGTCTAAGTTTATTTTGTATTAACTGGTTTTAAGAAAGATTGACACTTGGCAGCACATGCTCTCAGATGGCGGTGTGCAGTTGGAAAAGTAAAATGGGTTTGCAGTCAGCAGCTGTTGTGTGGAAAGTCTTTATATAAAGTTGTTTTGTCCATGTATTTTGCCAAGTACTTAACTGTGTGTATACACTCTGTCCATCATCTAATAATATAAAAATAAATTTAGGGAAAAGTGCTTCACCAGAACTACAATTATTTGTAAAAGACACCAAATATCCCCCTTTAAACAAACGATTATGTTGTTGTCAGGCCTTCTCTTTGTTTGCTGAGAGCTGCTCTCACAGGGTTTATTCAGGAAGTGGAGTGTTACTTCCCTTGTGCAGAAATTCTGTTTATGTTTCTGTCCAATTATCTCCTTGTTCAGAAGCACCCACAATCAGAGATCCAGTGCTTCCCCATGCGTGATATCTCTCTCTCTAATGCAGTGATTACAGAAGGGAACTAATTAAGACTGCGAGCGTGGGAGTGTTTGTGTGCCTGTCTGAGTGTCTCTTTCATTTCGGTAGCGTGTGTGCATGCATGTGTGTTGTTTATTGGGTCAGCTGTGTGTGTTTGCGTAATTACTTTTTCTCCCCATGTCAGCTATATCTAAAGCAAAGTTCAAAATCAAGAGTGCAAATGCATCTAGCTCCATGTTTTAATTAGCAAAATAATTTAATTATAAAAATAATTTCATGTCATTTGCATTCAAGCAGCCATTTTTTTCTTCATTTGACTCTTTCAAACACCGTGCTTGTTAGGGTTTTGAGGGATTTCACTGGTGGGATGTGTACAATTGAAGTCAGAATTATTAACCCTCCTGAATTATTAGCCCACCTGTATACTTTTTTCCCCTCAATTTTTCTTTAAAGGGCACCTATTTTACCCCTTTTACAAGATTTAAGATAAGTCTTTTGTTTCTCCAGAATGTGTCTGTAAAGTTTTAGCTCAAAACGACCAACAGATTATTTATTAAACCTTTCAGTATATTAGAGTTTTCTGCTCTAAACCAATGTAGCTGTTTTTTGTTGCCTGTGCATTTAATGCTAGTTCTCCCCGCCCACCATTCCCACTTGCCTATCAGAGTGTGCCTCAATCTCCAGCTGTGTGCATCAGATAAACAGCACAGTGACAGACATTAATGAAGCAGATCTCACGTAACGTTTGTGAGAAATACTACAGTAAGAACTTTCCCATTGATTATTTATGTATTTGTTGTGGAGTTGCAATGATAAGTCACACACAATGTCGTTCAAAGTTCACATACACACACACAGACACGGACAAAACTTTGCACTGTTTTTGCACTGCAAATCCGACAGGATACTCATTTAACATCCACTAACCAGGATTGAAGCATCTTCTTTTGTAATTGTAGTGACATGCGGCTTTGGTGATAAAGACGGTAAAATCGCTGTAATTCATTACATGCATGCACATGTTTTAAAAACATTTAAACTAAATTAACTTGTAAAACTTACTCTTGATCACATTTGATGATGATTGATGATCACAGAGAGCTCAACAGATCTTTTAATCCCGGTTGGTTTGCGAATGTCCTGTTTTGTTGATATGATTATACGTGTTACTACAGAGACATGTTAATATACAACTGTCAATCAATTCGGTGGGCGGGAAAACCGCACTTCTGTGTCACGTTGCAGTCGGCCTCAAAATGGGAGGGATTTGGATCCTATTTTAACATCAGGAAATTTAAAAATAGAGACTTGTTGTGTTTATATCACTCAAATATGACTGTGGACACACTATACCTACACACAGTTCTGTCCAAACAGCTTAAAAAAGCTGATCCTCCTCATAGGTGCCAATTAATGGAAAGATGCATTTTTAACACATTTCTAAACATAATAGTTTTACAGACTAATTTCTTATAATTAGTTTCTTTTTATCTTTACCATGATGACAGTACATAATATTTTACTAGATATTTTTCAAGATGTATTTTTCAGCTGTAGACGGTCGAAAAAAATAATGCTTAAGAGGGCCAATAATATTGACCGTAATATGGTTTAAAAAAATAAAAACAGCATTTATTCAAGCCAAAATACAACAAATAAGACTTTCTCTAGAAAAAAAAAATATGGTAAATACTGTGAAAACTTCCTTGCTCTGTTAAACATAATTTGGCAAATATATATATAAAAAAATTCACTGGAACACTAGTTGTGACTTCAACTATATATCTTGCTTGCTATTCCCAGATGATGTGGTTTCCTTGGCATCCTCCAGTCACCTTGATGGAGAAGATGATGAACTGAGGGCAGCCGCATCTCATCTGTGTGGGGAGAATGAAGAGCAGGAGCAAGATGGAGAGAGAGTTTCTCTAACCAAACGGCCCTCGTTATCATTATTGCTTGGAGCGCTGCCCACTTCGGCCAGTTTGGGCCTGTCCGAGTCCATCACCAAAATGGGAGAGGAGAAGGAGAACGGTAAGTGCATGACTTTAAAAATGCATAAACAATAATCAACTTTAATTTCACATTCACATTATCAGATGCTTTAATGACTTTGTAAGAATACCACTGGAGAGGTAGCATTTATGTTAATATACCTTTATTGTAACCACTTTTCATCCACATTTACTCCTTATTTACTACTTAGTTTTCTGTTTTATTATAAGGTTATTGCAATGAGCGTAACTGGAGTGTCTCTTTTAAAAATACACCAATGAATTTGCTTTTATTTTGTTTACTCTCTTTTCATATTCATCAACCAGGAACACATTTTGTTCGTTTACATTGCAAAATAGCCTTTTTCATGAAAATATTTCTAGTCCAAATATCTAAACGATCTTAAATCAAGAAGCATTTTATAGACAAGCAAAACATACTATCTTGTTTTAAGAAATATGTCAAAATTAAGTGATTTTTATCCCTCATAAAACAAGCAAAATAATAAATGGTATTGTTTGTAAAATCTCGAAACAAGATAACAAATCTAACAAGAACATTTTTGTTAGTCTACAACAGGGGTGTCCAAAATCAGTTCTGGAGGGCTGGTGTCCTTGAGAGTTTAGCTCCAACTCTAATCAAACACTCATGAACCAGCTAATCAAGCTCTTACTAGATACTAGAAACTTCCTGCCAGGTGTGTTTAAGCAAGTTGTAGCTAAACTCAGCAGGACCGAATTTGGACACCCCTGGTATACTGCATTAGAAAAAAGGAATGGAGTGGAGAATAGGATCTGGACTGACTACTTTCTACACTCCATTTTCTACATTAGTTTCCAAAGACTCTTATTAATACACTTTCATTTCATATTCACACATTGTGCATACAGAAGAGTGGAAGTGATTCCTTTTCCACACACTAGTATAAGTCTACTTTTAATAATTGTTATTAATTATTCTATTTGTTTTCAATTAACAGTTTCATTCCACATGCATGATTCAGTTAGACCTTGTGCTTTGGCAATGTGTAGAAGGAAGGTGAAACTGGATTGACTAATTTTCTAAACACATCCATTCACTTCCATTCCACCATTCATACACTTATGGCTCTCTAAAAAAAGAATTTGAACTGCAGTGACTCCTTTTTTTAACAATTCACATTAATCCATTTTTAAATCCACTTGTGTAACTGAAACAGTTCAGTTTTTCCAGAAATTTACAATTCCTTTTTTAATACCTTGAATTGATTTGCAGGGATATTGCTGCCATTACTTGCAATAACAAATTATATGTAAATCATACGCATTATTTACAGAAGAACACAGGGTTGCAGCATATTGTTTGATTGAAAAAATCATCATATTGATTATTGTCCTTGAAAGTGTAATATAGATTAGTGTTGTTGAGTATTAAAATACATTTAAAAACCTTTTTGTGCTAGGGAAAGGTCATACTCTGGCTACAATCACAAAACATATCGGTCCTTGATGTGTCAAGCAAGTTGCACAACAGGTGTGGATTTGTAATTAATTCAGTTATTATGATTTGGGATTTTTTTCCTAAATTAAAATGTATGCAAATCCTCTTTCAATCTATATCACATCCACACTACATCAAGAGCAACTTATTTATCTGAAACAATTGCAATATATTTTGTGGTTGTTGCGTTTATATTATGTGGTAGTGTGTTTGATTGAAGGAGAGAATAAGACTTTGTTCTTCGCAGGCAGAAGAACAGCAGCTGGTAAACTCTTGGGCATAAGAGTGTTGGCAGGTTGTCAGGTTGTTTGATTGGCCGTGCAAGCAGGTTGTCATGTTTCCGATTGGTTGTGGTGATTGTGGATGATTTGTATGGGGCGGAGGAAGAGGAAGCCCCCCTCCACTCTTTGAAGCTCTAATTGAACACAGCACCTTGTCATTAGTGCGCCCTTTCATCCACCCACTACAGGCGGCTATGTGTGTGTGGATGTTTTGCCCGTGAGACCAACCGAAGCAGTGTGTATATTTTGGTTTGGTTTTTTTTTTGGATTGGGGTTCAGAAAAAAACTCATGACTCAGAGAGAAGATATATTTAGTGCTTTTGTTTTGCTCAATATAAACTCAACTGAATGCCTTGTACAACTGCTGCTCTGTCATTTATTTTCCTCCATTTGTTCATTTCATCTTGGTGATTATATATGGGCACTGACAATATGGTTCTCTGTCTTTGTGCACTTCAGTCTCTTAGTTCTGTCTGCTTCAGCTTGTTCTGCCTATTCTCCCTGTTTATTTCTAGGTGGGCTCATTGTTCCATTGCAGACAATAAGATGCTTGTTAGAGTGTTCTAGTTCTTGCGCTTGCGAGCGAGCTGAATGTTCTTATTTAAAAATGCACAAGTGTTTGTGTGATGTGTGAAGACTGTATATGTTACATCAGAAAAACAAGGACATTCACTCTGCCATTAAACTTACAGTTATTCTCTCTATCATTGGCAACACTGGTCTTGTTGTTCATAATAATATGTCCTATAGGATTAGGTACACAAACAGTTTACATTCTCTTGACTATTTACTCTCCCTCATGTCATTTACATGAAGTGCAAGTTTGTTCAATTCAATTAATCTTTATTTATATTGTAATTTTACATTGTAGATTGTGTCAAAGCAGCTTAAAATAGACGCTCTAGTAAATTGAAATTGTGTCAGTACAGTTTTCAGAGTTGAAGTTCATTTCAGTGTGGTTTAAAATTCACTACTGAAAGTCCAAACACTGAAGAAAATCCATTGATGCACAACTCCACAAGTCAGAAACCAAGCAAGCCAGTGGTGACTAGTGGTGTTTATTCGCAAAGGTCTTGTTAGCTGGCCTGGGTTACACTACTCTAAAGGGACACACCCAACAATGTCTAAAAACTAGCGGTGATGATGACAGCTAACTGAATCGATTCCTCATGCTATCAGGAACAAAAAGATGCACAAGCCATGGACACACCAAATCTGTGTATCTCGAAGTATCCGTTTTGTCATTCCACAAAGAGAAACCAGAGGTAGTGCTGCACACATACAAACTGAAAACAAAGCAGCGTTTACTTAATGTTTTCAGTACTTCTCGCTCATCAAAGATATCTAATGATCCATCTTGTATGCAGATATTTAAGAAATGTGGCAAATAACACTTGGCTTCTTTGTTTCTTCTTAACTTGCATCGTTTACTTGGTTTCATCACTTCAGGTTTTGTTCTCACACTCTGATTCGTAGCTAAACAGCCAGTGAACAGATCAGTGTGCTATCCTTTACCAGTGACTAAAGCCGATTCTAGATGCTGAATCAGGCAAACTTCTTCTGACGATAGTGAGCGGAACATCAAATAAACTAGCCCATTGATTGCCGACTATCTGCGTGGTGTATCCCATCCTTAATTCTCACTATCGTCAGAGTCCGTACCCTAATCCTTCCTGGTTGTACTTTTCCCTACTCCTGTCAGGATTGAAACTGATGCTTCCAGAATAGGCTAGCAAGATTACTTGCATCACTCCAACTAGTTGCCCTCTGTTAAATTCTCCCTCTAAACCTCACATCCAGCTCAAAGAGTGGGATTTGAGCCAGGGTTTTCAGGCTAGATGACTGAAGTTTGCTTTCACAGCTCCCATTAGTTTTCTTAGCTACACTAACCTGAATCTAAATTTGCTTTTGAGTCTTTTTACATTATTTATTGAGGTTAATTAACTTTTTTCCCCCCCGATATAAACAAATAAAGAAAGTGAGAGCTGTATATATCCTGGAGATTGGAGGTCTCCCTCCTCTTCTCCTTCTGTTTTTCTCTTTTATAACTTTTCTTTTTGACTTTTTGTGTTTTTCTGAGGTCAGTTCTTTTGTGTGAGGATGTCAGAAGGGTTTCGCCTTTGTCTTTGTGTGTGTGTGCACAGAGAGTGTTCTGGTGCTGCTGTGTAATCCAGTGTAATTCTCTGAGGGGGCGGAGGGTCTTTGATTTTAACAATGCAACAGTGACTGAGCCTCCAGATGGTCAATAACTGTCCTCTCTGACCACACAGCAGGAGATACCAACTTCTTCAATTTGATCGTGTTTCTCTTTCCTTTTCATTTATTGAGCAGTCAGTCCATTAAGTTTAGCTGTAATTTCCATTCCCTTCGCATAATGTTGCAGTTCACTATGCCTGTAACAGAAACAAGTGGATGGATGCTGCCCTCTCCTCCCCATCTGTCAGATTCTCCTTGGATCTTTAGAGCAGGAAGAGAGGAGAGACTTGATCATTTACACTAGGAAAGGAGGAGGAGGGTAGGGTAGGGAGAGGAGGGTAGAGAGAGGTGCCTTTCCGAAGAGAATGAAAGACAAAATAAGTGAGTGAGTGACATTTATTCTTCTTGCTCTCTTTGAACGCATCCTCAGGGCAGCTGTTAGGGGTTTGTGAAGGACAGATGGGCCAAAAGTGAAGGTAATTTACATTCATAAGGCCTTTATAAGGCACACAGATGTGCCTTTGTCATTCTTTATAGCAATGTTCATAAACATTGTGCTTAGAATCGTATCTCAGATCAAACTATTGATCACATTGTTTTGAGGTTATGCTACGTCTGCTTGATTTGGTTAATAATTGATCAATGGTTTTGATTTTTAATGATATTGTTGGCATATCAAGCCAATCTGCTCTATATTCTTCTTTTGCTATTTTCATCTTGTTAGCAGGTCTTTTTAAGAAGTATGCAATAGAGTCAGAAAGAAAAAGTATGTTTGGTTAATATTTGGTATCATGCAAAAGAAAAAGATTGATTAATCTCTTTTTAGTCTGAACATTTTTTCTAATAAAAAATAAAGAGACAAAAGTAAAAAATAAATAAATTTCTTTTCTCCACAATATTGAATATTATATTTGTTTTCATGTGGGTCCTGTCTGGGTGCTTTTTGTAAGAACCAAATGAATCTTTATATTCAGATATGACATTGACACTTTTAGACATTTATGACTTAAGTTCTATTTAATAAAATTGCTTCTCTTTTGAAGTGTCGACGAATCTTGACGAAATGTCATGGTTTTTGCCGCT